CAAATAAGTCACGGTCATAAGGCAGTAAGGCATCAGTGTTGAACACTGATGCTATGCTGTTGAGGAGGATGATTCTCCCACTTAACTATCAAGCGGATTTCAATCGGTTTGAAGTTTACTTTCCTTTGCATAATGATTCGTTTGACATGGTCTCGTACTAATACATCCGTTCGGGCACTGTCCCGGCGGCTCAACGAGGGTGTCTATTTTAATGTTTCTTATGTCTGAACTGTGCAAGATTGTTTAATTTAGACCCACTCAAGAGCAACTGGGAAGTTTAGTTCTCTGGGTTATTTGAGTATCAAGGAAAAGACAGAACGATATGACTGTTTCACACGGGTCATCTAATATGACGCTTCTGCATTTCCCTGTAAGAAAACTCAAGGTAAAACCAACGCGGTCAATTCTCTTGTTTGCTTCATTACGTTGACTATAAACAAGAATGTCCGGTATTTGAATGTTTATACCCGCACACTACTTAGCCTTTTTCTGTGTGAGCTGACAGCTAGGTAGCTACAACTACCTAAGCTTCATTTCCTGATTGCCGTCCTATCCTGACTGTTCACATTTTTCCTTGCTTTTGGTAGCCGAGTTTGAATTGACAGGGTTCTGTATTTTTCAAGAAACATCGGCTAGAAAGCTTAACCAACCGAATGGATTCCATAGATTAACATGTCTAATTTTGCTTCCGTCTGGCATTTTCCGCAGCCCTATGGAGCCAAAAATTCCTACATGGATAGAACGCTCTTACGTAACCGTTCCGCATTGTCGTCTATTCTAACACATTAATCTTGAAGTTGCTAGCAACTCCTTGACAATCATTCACGAGGGACTTAGCTGAATGCAGTTGCGTCTTTTGCCAAAAACCAATTCGTGTGCAGATGAGAGTGTTGGGCAAATTTGGTCCAATTTATTTTCAACTGTTGCATAAGATTGATGAAAACTCGCAAACTGCACCTGATGGTCTATCTGATGATGCGAACTACCTGGTGATCTACAAGGATGAAGAAATCGATCATGGAATGAAAGATTTCAGCAACCTTATGAATAATGTTTTAAGCCTAGTTGGATAAAATGTTTGCTCCATTTTTTCTTTGTTTGTTCTTTTCACTGAGCAATCGTTAAGTTAATAATTTACGGGTGATAGTGTTGCTTTTCGAGCCACCAGTTGGCAGGTTCAGGACACACGGATATATTTTTATTTTCAAGTGCGTGCAGGTTTTCAGGGTTTCCATGACATCGTGTTATACTCCATATGTCACAAAGATGAAACAAATCCCCAAAAATGTCAGTTTTGTTAATCAGTTGTGTTACTAATTCACCGATAATTTCCAGGCACTAAGGTGTACATAGATGTTAACTCTCTCCACCTACTTTACTCTCGCGGAATTTCAACCAAATGCTGTTTTTTACTCGAAGAAGGAAAAGTACAATGCAACGTGATTTCGTGTTTAATCTAACCACCGACATTACATGAGTTACTGCACAATGAGGTAGGTCAGCTTAAGGTGTAAAACAAGGAAGTAGTGTGGGAGATACTGCTGCCCCTCAGTTAGAAGATGACACACAGCTCATTCTCATATGTCTCTCAAACCGTATACAAATATATTAATTATGTGGTTGGATCAGTACGTTCGGAGCCATTTTATTCAGTTTTTCGGTAGATGGTACGCAGTGATTATATACTCAATCTTTTGAATCAAGAGTTCATTTTGTTGCAGTCAGCCTTTAGATATGGCTAACAGCAAACCAAGACCACACCGAAATCCAAGTTTGATGATAAAAATAAGCATGCACAAAAAGATTCATTTTGAATGCCCAGATAAGCTACTTTTCCCGCAACGATTATACAAAACGGGTCGGTATATAGTAAGCTCGCTTTTTTGAGGCATGTCAATGGTTTGTTTCCTAGTTATGATAAATGGAAAAGCAGAACGTTATCAAATTAGATCGATTGGAAAAAATAAATCAGGTGGATTGAATGCTGGTATGGTCTGGTGTTCTATTGGTGTGTTGTGCTATTTTTGTTGCTTTAGATCATATGTTGGATATATTCTTATTTTGCCGTAATCTTATTGATTTACTAAAATGATTTATTAAAAATGAAGTTATCCCGGTTTTGAGGTGGTATTTAGATTTGCTCAATGTGATGAAGCCTTTGCTGAACACAATGCTACGGAAAATAATCGGGGTTCAAGCAAATGACCGAGTATAATGAGTGAATGAATAACCTTGCTCAGCAGTGGCACTATATCCGTAACCGCATAGAATAAAGGTATTTCAGCAAAGTTGCCTGTGGAGAGGGGTGAGATTAATGTGGATACGGTAGAAATGATCGATAAATATTAATGTATGTGGCTGTATCTATGCACGCGGAGCTATCTGAGATAGGCAGAATAGTGGATTTGACTTAACAACACTGTTGAAGTTTATGTAAAAAATTTTCACCACGTACGGAAAGCACTGTAATATTTAATGCCCTCTTATGAAGCAATAAATTTTGAATTAAAAACAAAAGGTTTTCTTGATTGGTACTTTTTAGAAATCAGGAAGTAAAACTTCTTCCTCCTATTTAAGAAAGTATCTTGTACCAGCTTAAATGCGAGGCAACCGCGTGTATCATAGTTAGCCAAAGAAGTGCATTCCAAACAAAAGATTCATTTAAAACTTTTTGATCCTTCCGGTGAAGCCAAATAAAAGGATTTGACAGAAACTGAATTTTTTAAAAATAAATGAAGTTTCAACATAGGAGAAACCTAGAAACAGGTAACGTACATGACCGAAGCAGCGACTGAATATCAGAAAAGCCAAAACTAGACAAATACAAAAAAATTAAGTCCATAAAATCCATACAACCTTTCTATTCTAAATAAATGTCCATAAAACGTTCAAAAGGGTGGTTGCTTATTTTCTTCAGGTTCAGTCGTAAATTTGATATCTTCAAATACAGCACCGAGTAACCCATATAGAAGTAATCCACACTCTGACGTCGATATTTGGTGCTGTACGTCTTAGAAGTTTTAACAATAGATCCTGACATCGATGATCCCACTGAAGTGCCTTATACTTGTCTTTATAATTGCTCGTCAAGGTGGAAGTGCAAATCCATGCAGAACTTCCGCACTCTGGTTTTTTTATTCTACAGATCTTCCTATACCTGGATTATTCTAAATTTTTTAATAAAGATTCTAGTCGTAAGTTTGCTGCTGCTCCTTCGGCCAAATTATAGATACAGTGGTTTCCCTGTCTTCTATACAAATAGAATGGGAATGAACAGTTGTTTTGTCACGCGTTTGGGTACAGAACTCAAGCGCTTTGGTCTTCTATAGGTTGCTGTGAAGTTATTGCATGGAGTTCTTGGAACTGAAACAATTAGTCGGAATGTGGATTACAATTGATCTCAATAGTAAAACTTGCCTGACAATTTCGTGTGTTTTTGTGAGTGCAGAATTTAGTAAACCTTTCAGATATGTGCATTAGAAACGCGTACGGATCAAGTCCTGGAATAAAACGGCAACCACCCGAAGAAACAAAAAGCTGTTGAGTTTTCAGGTTTAGATCATGAGTTTTCAGACACTGCAGGGGTGAGATTAGAAAAAAACACGTTTTCAGTAGTCCTACACAGCGGATATCTGAAAAGTTTTACCAAAATCAGCTTTAAAAGCAAAATGCCAAAAGCCACGACACTAGCAACATTCATTCAGAATGATGTAAGGTTTACATGAAAACACTGAAAGTATGAAGAAGACAACCTAACAACAAAAGAACTGACGCGGCCAAAAATTTCCGTTTCGAAAAAGTTGCGAAGAAACTATAAGTTCAAAAGCAATATCACAAACCAGTTCTTAAGCGACACAACGGCTCATACATGAGCTTCACACATCTGAACTACGAAGATTGAAACTTAAGCTTGCAGAACTTGAGTCCTTGGACCGTAAAGGCGGAAGGATGCGGGATGTTAAACTTTGCACATTTAATGCAGCACTTTGCGCACACAAACAGAGACTCAGATGGAATTTTAGTCACCTCAGTGGAGCGGACTAATGCGTCAAGAATCTACCTAAGGCCACGTCAACGAAGGTTGCAGTGTGAAACCCAGAAGGGCCAGAGAGTAAAAGCCCTTTACTACCAAACAAAAGGTTGCGGTTAAAAAATAATCCAAACTGAAAGGTCACATGGACACTGACTAATAGAATCATAGTCTCAATCATATTATTTTATAATTACTTCATAATACTTTGAAATCTCAAAACGTCAAAGCATCCCAGGATTTTTTTTGTTTTTATTATCAATCAGAGTTATCATTTCTATGCTTATCGAGTTCGATAAACCAAAAATGTTTTTACGTAGCTACTTAGCGGGCATAGCTGTGTGATAGTACGTAGATGACGGGGAACGTTCAGGTCTTACAGATGCCCTTGCAGTTATCTTTATGTAATGAAGGAATATCCGTGCACATCCAATCATTTGATAACTACATACTTTGCACGGGATAACAAGCAATTGTTCTTTGGAATGCCAGTTTTTATTTTTTGCAAATGGGTAGAAAAAATCCCGAGTTTTAGAACATTTGGGTGTTTTTCTTGGCCATCCAATCTGTCCGGTATGTGATGTGACTCACAAGGGTTAACATATCAAAACTTGATAAGATAATCCGGCACTAAAATATAACCAAAGCGTGTCTACATTTTACATCGTGAGCCGACCACAAGCACAAATGTTACAAACAGATGAACACACACTGGACGCACTGGTGGTTTCCCCAGTGATTTAAGTGATTACTACATGTTTATAGCCGGTGTCTGAAAATCTGGGCCTCACAAATAGATGAGCGGACAGTTGTGTGTGAATTGATTATCTGCCTGCGAATAATTAATTTCCTTTGCTTGCATCAAAATAAATAAGATATCGCATGTCAAGGCCTATCGGACGTATTTGGCAAAATATTTGTTTGGATGATTTTCACAACTTCGTCCAACTGAAAAACGTTAGTATTTACCATGCTTTATTTCCTTACTGTTATTCTTAGTGGCAGTATTGCACTCACGTATTTTGCCGTTAAATGGGGCTTTACTGCAGTTGTTCTAATTTACGGAGTCTTGGGAGGACTTGGATTTGGCGCTGGGTATTCTGTTATTCTTGCAGTGGCTTCAGCAGTAAGTTATTTGTGTATTACGAAAGTTTTGAACTGGCTTCCTCGCTCTTCCTAAAACCGTCCGTTTCACAACAAAAAATAAATTTTGCAACATAACGGCCTGCGGTATCTGGGTAAGGGTTTTTACGAGATTCTGTTTACGTTCTTATTAAACAAACATTGTGAAAATAATTTAGGGAGAAAAACAAATGTAACCTCTCCCGATTTAATATTACTCATGATTCCGATGTTAATTCCGTAAATTCTTGTAAGCACGGAGTAGCTGACGAAAGAATTTATTGGGCAATCATGTTCATAATTATCTTACAGGGTCAAGTTAATAACTTATTGGAGTGGGGTTTCGTTGCAAAAAATGAACGACATATTCTGTCTAGATAGAAAGTTCTTGCTTCCGTTGAGAATAAACTTGGTTCGTTACATACAGTAACTTTCAATGTTTCTGAAAATTTTTCATTATGCAGGAGAGAGCGTTGACTTCAAAATGATTGTCGTTGCCTCCATTTATCTAAGCGCATATTTAAAAGACAATTTCGGGTAGTTTTTAGAGGCACCGGTCAAATGTTCTCTGTTTTTGTGAGAAAAAATGCTGACCAACCACTAGACAGCTGTTCTGTTTTCTTTTGAAAAGATCTAGTTTAGCAGATCCAACAATGCGCTGCTACTCAGCGCAGTCTTTGCTTGTAAGTTATTAGTCCGTGACTATTCACTAAGAATTTACAGCTTCCTCTGGAAATGGCCAGAAAAAAACCGTGAAACTGCGCGTTTTTCCTAAGAATTGTCTTAGCATCAGATCCGTCGTATTGTTGCGTCAATCAAACAAATAATAGCAACTAAATGCATTAAATATATTCAGATTCAGTTGGTTATCTAAATGTCAGTGAAACTACAGTATACATACTTTTAACTGTCACACTACTTAAGAAAACATATGTTTCTTGGATTTTTATTCATGCGATTAACTCGGCCGAATAAACTTGCACCGGCAAAATATCGACTTAGAGTAGCAGTCCTATGATCTCATATTCACAGCATTAGTTTAAAAGAATAAAACCCACACAAATTTAAGTCCAACAAGACTGGGGACGTCTCTCTTCAGGGTCATAATCACAAAATAATAACAAAAAGTTTATTCAAAATTCACTTTTAGGTGCAGCTGTTATGGGGTAGCTGGCTTTATAACTTCGTAAACAATCATGTAAGGTACAACTTTCGAAGAGTGCAACACAGCAGTCTTCAGACCAATTAAGCATTTGTCTAATTATAAAATTGCCCCAAAATGAATTCGGAATCATTCCAAATTTATGAATCTTTGTTAAAAAACGCTGGTTTTACTCAAGACATTTTCTGTTATTTACACAGAGAGGGGGTTTGGACTTCTTGTAGACTACTCGGGATATTAGCTTGACACACGGGTAGCAGTATCATGCTACTCATTCTTCACAACACGTATGACAGACTTCTGAAGTTGAGTTGCTTCAGCCACTGAAAAAAGTTCTACTACTTGAAATCAAACGAATTTCAGTATTTGCACATGATTAGGCTTGAGTGATTGCCTCAAGCCTGTCCTGGAAACTACGTGACGAGGGAGTTGCACCACAGTACTGTTCGCCTCTTGACGATACACAAAACTCCCTTCTGTAGAGGTCCATTATTCTGCCAACTGTATTACGAAGTGGCTTATTAGTTCTAGGTTTTCTGAGCTTGGATTTTATGTAATGTTCGCAGAGTTCGAACCTGGATGATTTGGGAACCTACGATTTTCGACTTCATTGAATCTAATTTTTAAGCGTAGTTGCTATCTTTTTCCACGTCGTTTGCATTGTTCGCAGTGGTTTCCTTCTCATCGTGGTCTTATAGTCGGTCTGGTTCTTGGCGGTTTTGGTGGTGGTGCTTTGGTGTTCACACCAATCCAGACAGCGTTAATCAATCCCAAGAATGTGAAAATCAACTCTACTACCAAGTGAGTACTCTAGTGTGCAGTGATGATTTTGTCTTACAGTATGTTCTGTTTGCTCTGAACAGCTTTCAACTATCAGTATACTACCTTCGTGTAACCTGTTCTAGTAACAATTCATCTAATGATGTTACTGTTGGTTTGGATAGTTTCAATTTTTTGATAAATGGATTCGTTTTTTAGGCAAACAAATCTTGAGGAAACTCCCTTGTGCCTTAATTGGCTATCAAACACCAAAACTGATCTTCACCATTGAGCCACCTACGTATGAACCTACTCCTCTGCAGTAAAAACCACTGAGAAACATCAGGCGTAATCTCGATTATGGAGCTGATACTCTTCTCTTAATGACTTATTCCGCAAATGTGTTGATAAAGGCAAGAAAAAGAAAAAATTACCTTGAATAATCAGCATTCAGTATATACCTTCAAAGCCAACTTAGTGAATGGAACCGGGCCACTTGAGCATTATAAATAAGGCCGGCGAAAAGCGCACAGTGATCACTACTGGCAACATCTCACCTTGGTTTTTTACGTTAGACCTATTTCCCGAGTTCTAATCAAGCTCATGTAGTAAATGAACACCAAACTATACGCATCTTGCAATAAATGGTAAATTTACGATTAACTTGGTTGTGACGGGTGACCCAGTTAAAAGTCCTCTGATTACTCGTCTATCGTTTTCCTTAACCGATTTGCACTGAAACCTGAGCAACACCAAAAAGTGCGAAGTTGAATTATAAGTGGTGTCAGTGACTTCATGTAAAACGCTAATGGAAGAAGGTGTCTTTCTAAATATTCTGCCCAGCCAAATATACATAACTTTGTTCAAAAGCGTTTGGTTGTTCATGGGGTGTATGTGAGATTTATTTTTCGCTAGGTAAATCCTGAATGATGTGGTTTTAGCGTATTAATGAAGAGCGATTGGTGAACAATGTGAAGGTTTCAGAGCGCGCTTCCAGTAAACAGTCGTCCAAACTAGACATCTGTATGTAAATTCGTGTTGTTATATTTTATCCAGGCGAATTAGCCAATTTCGTCTTCGGGGTCTAAAGAAAAGCAACTAAAATTAGGATGAACAGGGATGAAAACTGAGGAATTAGGTCAGAGGACACAGAAAGCTTGCCAAAATATCCAGCAAAATAAGCCTTCACAGGAGCCCCGTATTTGTATGCAGGCCTGAAAAAATCAGAGGTTTCTGGAGACGTTATTTAAATTATCGTCTATATGAAACAAAATATGGGCCGTCGGAGGACAATAGCCTCTTGCGTGTAGAGGATGCGTTGTTTTATGGCTTTGAGTTCAAAGAAGTTGCAGTCTCGCATGTTCTCGCTAACAAGTATATCAGACTTAATTCAAAAGCTCGGCTACTAGGCACTTGTGAATGGTGTGCCAGTTACACTGGCCGCGTCACCGTTCTCAGGTAGCGCTACTGGTTGAAGGTTGAATCACCAGCATCAACTACTGTCCTTTCCCTTAGTACCGCTCTGATGAGGTTTTAGGGGGTACACTTCTGATAAAATATTATGTTTTCTCAGGTGTAGTTCAGCTATACCGAGAGGAAAGAACAGCTGTTACCAACCTATTTACAAGATAACTGTGACCGGGGTATCTAGTGTCCTATCCATACTAGCGACTATTCATACAAAGTACCAGGGTTTCACCTGCGGCAAGAAAAGTTTTCCGGATAATATTCGTGCGTGCACTGGATTAGCACAATTTTTCTAGGTATTTTACTGGCCATTAGAGAAGTTACGTGTGTTGGTTGTTTTGTATTTGCAATCAACTTTCGAACAAAGCAACTTTGTGAACCCAGACTTTACTATTCGCAAATTTCAGAAGTTTCACAGACACAGACATGTTGAACCGCGTTCCTTATGCATTTTTGCTTCTGGCGGGCATAACTGGAACCATACAAATAATAGGATTCTTGCTTATGCAAGAAAAACCAAAGGTAGGTGCTCTTGAATCTTTTTATTCTTTCAACATTTACCAATCTCACCCACGCAGGATAGTCCAAAAGGTTGACTTCAAAGCGTCCGAAGTTGGTAGCCCCGTGCACCACGTGTTCATCATTAATAGACCTGCACATGCATCTGAACCAATCTATATTGAAAGCTGACTAGAACACGGTGAGACTAAGCTCCACTACTGTTGGGTGGATTTTCGTTTCTCATGTCGTACACACGGCAGCTGCTAAAATCTTTGAGCTATTTAATTTGGCCTCCAATTTTTGTCATCCATCGTGATAAAATGTTGGGTGAGCGGTAAATTATCTATTTCATTTATTTCTATTTTTATACATTTGTTTTAATTTAATTTAATAACAACTAGAGTGTCTGTCCGAATGATTTCGAAAAACAAGCAGGTGACAGGTGATGCTACCTTGCGAAAAATGAACTAAAATCTTAGCGAATATATACTAATTTGCAGGCTAATTTGTTTTTTTTCGAGAGACTCACCTAGGATCCAGCTGAATCTGTCGTTTGTGATGTTCTCAGGCAACTGAATGTGCTGCACTAGACCAAATTAGTTTGCAAGTGAGTGTACATTCTCTAATTTCCTGCAATTCGGTTTTAAGTAGAACATAAGGTTGACGGAAATCTGGGGACTGCACCTACCTGATGAGCCCCAAAAAGTGCGAAACCGGTCGTGGGTTGTCGACGGAGTAGTACATTACAAAGAACTAAAATCTTATTACTGAATCCGACAGATCGATGTGTCACTCTCGTGTATTTACACGTTTCACTCTTTTGCATCTAAAATAACCATAATTGTTCTCAAAAAACTGATGGCTCTACGTTTATCCAACTGAGTTCATATAGTTAAACAACCCGCAAAAAAATAACTCTTTACTTTTTGGTTTTCATGTATAGACTAACGTGCAACATTTACCATCTGAGGAGCTTGATGAAAACCACCATCCCAGAAGGGTAAGCACACAGCTGTTTTCCTCTTGGCTCAGTTATAGAGAGTCCTTTCATTTTAGCTACGCTGCTTTGTAGAGTACCACAGCCATCGTCAGGTATGTTTGCTTACCCGATTTCAACTTTAGACCATCTGACAATACGACGAGTGAGTTGACCATACAAAGCACCTCTGTGTCCTCCATCATAAAATCTACCCCTAGCTTTGACTGCTTGGAATTCAGACAGACGTGACCCTACAGACTTAATGCACACAAAACTGGTATACAGGATCACGCCATCAGAATCTCCTGAATGTTTGTCCAACTGAATGAACAATGGTCAAAATCGGGTATTCAGGCGTAAGGAAAAGCAGTTGCTTGATCTGAATAGATTAATTGATTGCTTTATGTGAGTCAGGAGTGCCCTGGAAGAAAACTCATGTGAATTTCCATACAAGTATAGTCATTCAACCTGGAGGATCATTACGTTTTTCGATACTCCTGGATTCACCAGTGTCAATGTAGGCCATTCTCTCAGTGACGAATTAACATATTTGTAAAATCCGTCTGGCCTAGATAGGCCGTCTTCCTATTTCACAACCTCATGGTAACACCCGTTGCCCGAACTGTAACTTCACTCCGGTTCATTATACCTTAATCTCATTTGCTCCTTTATATTGTTTCTTGGTGTGACGTAAATCTATCTTCTGACGACATCCAGTTTCTAGGCCATTTACTATTTAATTTCTTTTCAAATTGGGAACTTGTGGCTTCTAGGACTTCCGATTTTCTGTTGCGAACATTCCTATCATCAGCTCTTGCGCACATGCACTATGATTGGCCTAGCTTATTGCAAAAACTATCTATCTTATGTTTATCAGCAGCTGAATAGCAGAGATGTGTGCACATGTTGCTCTCCGCTAGGCGTCACCCGTTTCTATCGTAGTGACTGAAGGTCACGGCAAAACTGCGTAAAGGTTTCATTATTTGCATTTCGAACTAGCTAGCCTTGTTCTCTCACAAATATCGTTCTGTGAGACTAATGTCTTCTTGTATCCATTAGCTTCCGAACCCGATTAGTATCCTCCAAAGTCCGGGCCTCCCAGCGACTTGATAACTCCCATCCATCCGTTGATCTGCTCATCACCATGTCTCCGTATTCAGATCATCGTTGTGTCGGCTGAATCTACGTAATGCTAGCCATAAAACCCCGTTTTGTTTATAGTCCTGTGTTCTAACGAAACGCCTCTGCAGATTATAGGGAAACGCGCTTGTGTAGTTTCCTTGTTTGTGATCCTTCATTAATTACTCGGAAGCCTACGATTAGGATGAAATTTTCTGAGCTAACTGAACACAAAAACCCAACTTGCATACCTCAAACGAGCGTGAGCCGTGTGAAAAACAGGAATAGTGGGAGGTATAAGTAATGGTAAATTTATTCCTCTCTTTTAACCTATACTATGGAGGTACCACCTTATACTCTTTTGCAAATGCAAGCGACATAGAATCTTTCATAGGTCGGCTTTGAGCCCAAAGATCGTTTGAAATCCATTGAAAATCCGACTAGGCTGATGATTAATTAGTCAAGAAAAAAATTTTGTTCAGCCATTTATATCTCATAATTGATCTAAAAGCAGTAAAAACCTGTGCTGTTGATGAAAACATACTTGTTCATCCACGTGCTTGCAATCGGTTGTTCTCCTACACCAGTTTTTATAACTATTTTTTCTTCCATTCCGCCGCTCACAGTAATCACTAGGAAAGTTTGTCATACTGTCAAATCTCGAAATGTATAAGCCACCCTGTCCATCAGTATCTACTGACTTTTTTTCCTTACTTGCGTTCCGCAGCTTGCTGCAGTCGATCAGAATCCTTTCGATTATGCATTCCGTTGTCCTTCCAAATTGGCTCTTTAATCATACTCAACCAAGAGTGGTTAGCTGCATTCTATAATTACTGTCCAATTGACATCACTAATTTTGAAGCGATGATCTAGCCGGTCACTATAGACGCACACTCGTAGACATACTTCCGATATACTTGGTGAAAGAAAACTAGGTTTGGTTGATGTTCCAAAGGCATTCACTTGCGTCTTGCATGTTCCATACTTGGTCTAAAGGTTTTATGAAATTTCTAACCAACATTTGTTTACTCGTTGGCAAAACATGTAAGATTTAGTCTTATCAGTGTAGACAATCTGTACTGAATAGCTGAGAAGCACAATACAGCTGTTTCAAACATACCGGGAACCATCACTAGTGCTTATCTCACTAAGTCAGGGCTAATTACATTGCTGTTCAGCCGAACTATTAAGTATTCAACCACTGGTAACAAGGCCGAAAGCTAGAAATTCCGTTGAATTTCACTAAGTGTGCACCACTGGTGATTCCTACGAAGAACGAAACAGCTGTACAGTGCTTCATGACGTTTCATTACTGACTGGATTCATAGAAAGGAAAAATTTCAAATGTTTCCGTACTGCCACCATTAAAAGATTTTGTTATGTATCTGCTAATGACTGAAATGCTCCCATAGCGGAATTAAAACACATCAGTCGGGGATGTCTTGAAGTTGAAAAAGATTTCACAGTTAATGAAATAGAAGGACGTAAATTAGCAAAAAACCAAATGTGAGAGGCAGCTTGTGTATCGGATTCAATTTGGTACAAATATCACGCACGTGTTTGCAGACTAATCAAAGGGTGATCAAGCTCAATGAGTGAGTGATCTAAACTGTGTTTTGGATGAATATAAAAAGTTAGTCATGCTTTATCTGCAGACCTCAAGTCATGGGTTAAACTAAATTCCCTGCACGAGTGCTTGGTCATGCACGAGGAGTCATTGATCATTAGTTTTATCCTTAAAAAATGGTCTTTCGGGTTAGTTTGATATTTATTTTAGAAGTTATCCAACGGTGATGAGATTTGCACTCAGAAATGAGTCTAATTCAGCCGAAATTTCGGATCATTTCAATACATATTGATTGTTTCTAGCAGTCAGCTTGATCTCGTTGGTTTGCGAGTAAAATCCGAAAAGTCAGATCCTTCAAATGGAGGCTTATCTACTAATGCGGTCCTGTGGATACAATAACAAAATAAAAAAACTGTACAAACGTCAAATCTTGAGATTATGCGGGCTTCTATAATTTGGCTTGGGAAGTGCCATTTCCGAACAGGATCCCAAATTTCATACTGACCCAACGCAAGATGATCACTCAATGGCGAAACTCACCTTGTCGACTTAAACAAGACATGCGATGGAAATGCCTTAGAGCTGTTTATGTTTAGACCTAAAGAAAAAAGGCGGTATAAGTGGAAAACGGAAACAACAAAACGTGGAATTGTGTTGTAGAGAGTTTGAATAGAAGAACAGACTCAACAGTTCGTTTACCTGTTTGTTTTACATGACGTTTTAAACCCATTTAAAAACGAGCTCAGGAATCAAACTGGACCTTATATCAAGGAGACCTTCAACGGTTATCATCTGCAATTATGTGCAGGGGACGCGCTTTAATGGTGGTTTTGCACCATCCAAAAATTTCGTGTCCCTTTTTGCGAAGGTGAGCTTAGATTCTCAGAAATGACTCTGACAAGTCCAGCAAGGGACGCATTAGAGAAAGTTAGCACACTTTGGTCCAGAAATCGGTAGCAACGGCTTATTGATCCAATAAAACTTGTGCATACGGCCAGTTACCATCGTATGAAACTGTACAACAGAAAACCAGAAGCCGATCCTTCTTGATCTGATTATGGTTTACTTCTTGCTTTGTCAACTACGTGAACCAAGTATTACCGCATTACGTTGCCTATTTGTGAGTGTTGCAGCAACATACCATTATTACCGTTTTGCTTGTGCCACCATTAACTGAACTTAACGAGACGTTGAGAGAAGAGGAGCCAAGATTCCTTTGGAGTTATTAAGCACTTTCCACATTTGTGAATAAAAGAATCAAAAGTGCATCCAGTAGGTGGGTTGAGATGGTGTATCTATGGAATAAAATTGTGATAATAGTCAACTAAATCAAAGAAATTGTATGGCATCTGTGCTCTTATGGGATGATGTTCTACTGATGGCTTTCAGTCTGTTGAGGTCTTGCAGATGACAGGAAGACAATGATACAGGTCATTAAGATATGAACTTTCGTGGTACCTAGTTCTTCAGCTGTCGGGCTTACAATGAGTATATCATCCAAGTACGCCATGACTAACTGTATTTCGAAAAACACAGCATACATCACCTGCTGGAATTATGTTGAGGTACATGAACTACCTGGCTTAGCGGCACAAGTTTCCGCGTGGACTGACGGCGAGGATATCAATCGTCACGCTTACCTGCACCTGACAGGTCTGAATTCAGATAATCCAAATGCAGATATTCAGATGGTGAAATCACATAATGAACGGTCCACCTAGTGAAACTACATACTGCTGGGTTCGCCCCTCAGATTCGGAAGATCATCTGGAATGCTCCTTACAGACAAGTACTTTCTATTAAACCTCTTGTAACGTCGGAGACTTGCTGATTCTCGTTTCCTCCAACGCCGTCGTGCTTAGAAATGACTCATTTCCCCATTTATATTTACTTCACTGCTGTTAAAGTACTTAAACCCACTGAATACGTAACAATTAATAATAAAGTGCCAACAGAAATTCATTAACAAACCTTCTTTACTTTTTTATCCATTTACATAAGTTTATTCCTGGCTTTTCGTCTTCTTCCTCTTATCGTCATCTTTTGATTTGGCTAACCATAGTTCTATTTTCTTTATGGTTTATGCGCCATTTATCCACCTGTCTAGTTCTTCGCCTGTTGACTCTAATCAGGATGAGCTTACAGGCCCCACAATACGGACCAACAGCCCAAAAATCGTTCTCGCTCCTTGGTGTTGTATGCCCTGCTCACCTTTAACTCAAACGCTTTGAGAGACGTCTATTGGCGCATGCCTGTCCTTCCCGTTTTGCAGAACCTATTAGTTGTGCAAACCACACGGATATTGGTGTCTATTGTTATCCAGGCTCTACGCTTCCCTGCTTCAAAACGGCAAAGGCAAAGCAGTTGCCATACGAGGCAAAAACATCCATTCGGTTCAGCTGACATATGTTTCGTTTTCATCTGCTCGACAACCTGGGTAGACGGTTAGCGTGGCCTACTTAAATAAGTGAAGCATAGATAAGTGAAGCATAGAGATAAAGTTTCGGGTTAAATAGAACGAGGATGAAAATAAGGCTACTGTATTTGATCTCTCTCTAGATCGTACGTAGACACCGGTTAGCTGTTTTAGAAACCTCATACTAATCGTAGTGTAATCCTAACTTGGTCGACCTCTGAACCAATGCTTTTCATGTAACGCTGTTGACTGATGGATTTTGAGTGTGTACGGTATCAGAACCAAACCACACCGCTCATCCGTTTTCTCTGACCGCTTGGTGTTCCCACGAAAGTCACCTGAACAATGGTGAAGGTGATCTTGGTGTTATTAAATGCTTTGTGGACGCTTTGAATGCTAGCGCCATATCAGGTAACTAGTTCCAGACTATTCAACAGAACGATGAGTCGCTTACGTTAATTAGTTTACTGCGCCTTGAGTTACCTCTACATCAAAAGGGTCCATTAACTGATGAACATTACCCACTGACGAAATGGGTTGTGAAAACATCACACAGTGCCGTCCACCAAAGGTCACTTCATTAACAGCAACTCTTGCGTAATAACTTTTGACTAGGTATTTTTAAATGGGTCTATTGTTTAGGCATTTTGATAGCAAAGGAAGAGAATCTGGCCTTTGTGCTTCTCCACGTTGCCGGTTACCTCATTGTCCAGTGTGATGATCCTACCTATTGATAGCTTCGAAACCAGTGTTACTTCCTACCCTTCATTGTTATCATCATTATCAAAGTTTTCTTCATCGCAGCCATCGACAGTAATATCTGATGAAGACTTCCTTCTTAATTGTAGTACCTTGTGAACTTGGACCGCAACAAGTGAGTTCCGCAGACGCACTTTAGGAAGACTTGAATACCGATTCTGCACTTACCTATAGTTCGGCAGGATTGTAATGTACTAAAACCCATCCAGATTTGCATCATATGAGCTGTTTTTCTTATCTTTTGGCTCATTAGTTGCTCGTAACGCCATCCTCGAACAAACAGATAGTGTAGAATAACTGGACATCCTTAGTATCGATTCGATCCAAATTGATTGCTTTTGTAGCATCTGGTTACTGACATATTACAACATAGTGAAACAGGGGTTTGACGAAAAATTGGGGACTACGCCTACCTGATGAGCCCCAAAAAGGACACAAATGGTCGTGATGTGTCGAACAGCTCTCAGGAAACATTTGAGTAGTGTTTTATGTCTAGACAACCACATATTAGAAACACTTTTGAAAACCTTGAGATTCGTTGGCTGAGCACAACCCAGGATGGTGTATAAATTATCCCCATACGAGATACTGGAGCTGTTTCGGTTGACGAAAATTGGGGACTACGCCTACCTGATGAGCCCCAAAAAGGACACAAATGGTCGTGATGTGTCGAACAGCTCTCAGGAAACATTTGAGTAGTGTTTTATGTCTAGACAACCACATATTAGAAACACTTTTGAAAACCTTGAGATTCGTTGGCTGAGCACAACCCAGGATGGTGTATAAATTATCCCCATACGAGATACTGGAGCTGTTTCAATTTCCTATGGGTACATTTTGAATTTTATAGTGGATATTACGCATAACACATCCTGGTATGAAGTTCTTTTAGAGCTATTACGAAGCGAGCTAAAGAGCGTATATTTGCGGTGCACTTGATCCCAAGGTTGCGCATTCCACTGGATTGTGTTATTGCTAATCTAGAAAAGTTCTCCACACTTAGGCACTGGGGATCCCAAAAATTGACCGCCTTTGTAGCCAAAATGAAGTAGGTGGATGGAGCCAAAGCGTTTCCCTCCAATCACTCCATACTGTTTTTAGTATTCAGTTTGCTTGCAGTTGGAGTAACATGAAATTGATCAGCTTCCTTCCTGAAGGAGTTTTGGATATTTTTCATAATATTTCTAACGGATCTTATTGTGTGACTAGTAGGCTCTAGAAGAGATCAGGCCGAATATCTCTTCGAGTCAGATCACAAGGTTGACTCGGTTCTCGAATGTGGCCTGTCTGAGTTTTTGTCTGGTATGTCAATTATACCAGATCTAACTCTCCTCATACCCTGTATCTTGATCCGAAAGCTTTCGAATGCCATCACCCCAAAAGTATCTCCGAATTTTGTAAAAATTACTTCAGTCCATTAAGCATATTACGCACTTAAGTCCATTTAAACGGTTGTGGTTGTCTGCGCTTTTTGATTTTTTTTACTGAGAGCTGACGAACTATTTGTTTGGTAAACAAGGAATGTTTTGGTTTTTGCATGCTAACACACTTGAAATGCTGTGGATGGAAACATGTTCAGAATTAACCATTTTCAAATAAAATACAGAGCATTCCAATTCCTTCAATCGTTTTGATTATTTCCAGTCGTCTGCCGTAGGAGCGATTTAAAATGGTTACTTCACGGTGATTATGACGGCAGTTTAAAATTCTTGGTATTGGAAAAGCCGCAATCGGAGACTTGCTGCCTATTCTAACTTTGCTTTTTTTAACTTTATTCTAGTACTTTTAACCTCATGCTGATAGTTGCTTAAGTGGCTTTGAGGACAAATAAATTGACATGATTTAGCCGATTACCTTAAGTTCAGCCTTCTTGCATCTGCAAATTCCTTGAATTCCAAGATGAAAAAGGCGACGTATTGTTTGATATCCTTTAGCGTTTTTTATTATTCTCACACCCAACATGATATTGTCTGCATCGCGGACTTTATCCCATCAGTCTCTTACTAATCATGATCTGTGTTTTCAATTTTCTACTGTTGTTTATTCTTGGGTTTACTGCGACTTATATACAGAGTAATGAGAAGCAAGAATAAACATTCGTACACTGTCACTTTTCTGATTTTTCTCTCTATAGGACTGTCGATGTACAACCCCTTATCGTTCTGCAGGCCTCGGACTTTTACCTTTTATGGTTGTCTGTGTGCTTTAGTGCGGTTCCAATCACCCTCGTTTCCGCACTTTTCAAGGTAATTCAAATAACATTAATATTGTTCACACTGTCTGAGCGATTATTTAAGCAATATTGCCCTAGACTTATTGCTGTGGATGCTATGGAGGTCTCCCGGTGAATAGTAACCCCACCAATAGAACTAATCTTTTCCCATGCATAGTGGTGTGCTGTGAATACGGTTAAATCATCCCACAACTTGTTTGAAGTGTCTTATGCGACCATACTTCTCTGGATGATATATATTTTACTAGAAGTCAGTGGCGTGCTGCTGGTTTATACCCGAACCTTATCAACATATTTCAGATAAAATTAAGTCGTGGTCATGTTTTAACCCATAGTCTCCAAAATTCTTTACCTGTTTTGGCTTCGAAATGCGAAATAATCTGGCTCGTGTAAGTATAGTCATAATTAGGTCGGATGTGATAGTAACGTGCAAGGATCTGAAGTTATTTACCGGATCTCGATGTATGCAACCCACCAATTTATTCGAAATCTAAAGCAAGGGTCTAAGTAGTAAGCTCCAGTCTGATTGACATCCTCAAGTCCAGATTAGCCGTGGCTTTTCAATAAATTTAGAAACGTTAACTTGTTCAACTTGATTTGACATTTGTTTTCTCACTTGGTCAGCTACACCAGACGACCATTTTTTTATTACAGGAACTATTTTTTTCTCCAACTGATTTTCTGAACAACGCCATATTGGACTTCAGTTCTTGTTTGTCTGTTTTAATTAACCACTCTAGCGCATTCACTCCGGAAATTTTTTTTACGAAGGTAGCCGGGATTCAGTATATTCATGACGATCTCTTTCTGACGGGAGTCTCAATGGCGGCATCTGTGTGCAACTGTGTTGGACGCGTTATCTGGGGCATAGCTTGTGATCGGTTTTCTTTCAAAGTGAGTTTACTTTGTAAGTTGATATCATGGATCACTTTTGATGTCCTCTCAGATGGTTTCAATACCGAACTAAATGTTTTTGGGATTTAACTGAAGCAAGGTTCTTCTTCCTTGTTTGTGGGCTGCATTAAAAGAACCTCCTAAAACCCAAAACAAAATAGCACTCAATCCGTAAATGGAGGTTGCCATACTTTAGCTTTTCACAGTTTAATATTCTGGCATTAGAAATCCCTCACAGAAACCAATCAAGAAACGCTACCTCCGACAGAGCAACACAATTTGAAAAGAGCTAGTAAAATTATTATTGAATGATGGATTCTTTTGCAATCACGCTATTAGTATTTCTGTTACGTAGACGAAATAACCCAAGGTTTGCTTATTCAAAAACATAGTTACCGGTCAAGAATGAATTCCGATATTTTTCTAAATGATACTACCCGATCGCTTTGAATTCTCTCACTGCTGTTCCACGAATACTTTATGATTATTCCTTTTTCAAAAAGACAGGTTGATAAGATATGCTTTATGGTATCATTAAGTAAGGTATACAAGCTTAAACATGAAGATGCAAATAGACCAAATAACCAGGGCTTCCACGATAAGAGGAAACTAGTTAAACCAATAAAACATTGTCTTACGAAACTTAGCTTAGAAGAAACTCTGTCAAACGAAAATAATTATGTTTTTTGAGAACTATTGACTGCACATTCACTATTTTTTGCGCTCATTTCCATGAATCATATGAAACTCTAAAGAATCATAGGTTCGATTTTTCAGGCGTTTTGTGTAAAACTCCAATCAGCGAAGTAGTTCAAAGTGGGAACAGGTTTGGGGTCATTCTGATGGTTTTCTTGACGCACCTGAAACATTCTAATGTTGGAAGTACTTTTGTAATTGTGGTGTGATACAAGCTGTTTGAGGGCTTATTTTTGTCAGCTTAGACAGCTTCACTCAAATATATCAGCATATTCCTACGGTGAAATGATTTTCAAGTCAAGTTTATTACTTATATTATAAGCAGCTTTTTTCACTCTATTTTCAGTTACCCATGAGCTGCATGTGCATCGTGTGGATCTCCCTCCTGTTCAGCTTTCCATTCATCTCCGTTTTCACAGGAACCACAGCAAAAGTCACTTTTGTATTATGGGTTGGCCTCATGTTCCTGTGTCACTGCGGCATTTTTGTCTTTGCACCGACAGCCACCGCTAACATTTTCGGACCGGTCAATTTGGCAGTCAACTATGGAATGACATTTACCGCGTTTGTAAGTTATGTTGCATGCACTCTCGGTAGTACGTACGGTGACAAAGTGTCTAACTCCGGTTCATGTGAGTGTGTATTGGCTGATTCCCTTGAGTTTTGAAAACCTTTGGATCGTGTAATCGCGACTAATTCATGTTTATGTTTTTTAGATTGTTGGAAGTCTGGCTGCATCTGTTATGACGAATCTCGCTCCGATTGGGACTGAAATTAAACAGCATTTTCTCATTGGTGGAGCGATGGCTATTCTTGGTGAGTGAGTACACTTTGTTACTTGCTAAGGAGCATGAAGTGATTTGAGTAATACTCTGAATGAAATTTACTAGATAATATGTTATTCTATCGTAATTTGGTTCAGGGATTTAATTCACTATAATATGCCTGTAGTAGGTTGGAGTTTGGTGAACGGAAACAATATCTAGGATATACTGAACAATCTGGAGCAAAAAATACTTGCACATAGAGTTGAAATCTATGAAAAAATATTTTGGGAACTAACCGGTCATCAGTTCAGAGCCGGGGCGAACCTAAGGGAACCCTTCACATTGTAGTGTGCGTGAGCTTAATTGACGGTATTTCAAATTTCCACAGCAAATAGTCTTGTGACAGTTTGTGCAACAACTGTGCATTCTAACAACGGTTTTGGATATTTTTTCTATTCTTTTCGCGGTTTTTATGGTCTAACCATATTTTCTTGAGCCTATGGCTGTTAGCTCCCCTGCCTTTCTGTTTTAACCCACAGGCATGTTGTTTATTTTCCTGGTCGCAGACAGGAAGGTACCACAAAAGTTCCAGTTTTTGAACGCTGCAATTCGTTTTCGTGTACGGTGTTGTCCGAGGAGGAATCTTGGTAACTGTCGTTGAAATTGTTTCTATATTTACAAAAATACAATCAATACATCTCAAAAATTTATATCTGAATAATAACTTTTACTTCTCTTCTATTATCTCTTATTACCTTTTTGACTTTTGAGCCTGCTAAATTTGAAAAGTCAATAGCAATTCGTATTATTCGGTTTTTGTATTGGATATCTCTCTATTGAGGGGAAACCCAAAACAGTGCGCTGAACTGCGCACTCATGATGTCTCCTCGTATGGTGACGAAACTTTTGCAAGCCGATGACCAAGCTCGGTTAACATATCAACAGCCATCTGATCAACAACCAATAAACTCACCCGAGCTACCAATATTTCACCACATTACCAATCAGACCACCGATTAAGAAATTACGCTTACTGCCGTCGACAGTTTTGGTGCTAACGTGACTACCAGTTATTTTTGGAATTTGCTCTTTCTGATAAAAATTTTTAAACTGATACCTGAGAAACCAAGTAATTAAAGTTTTGTTCTATATTCAGTTAGTTAAATCAGAAAGCAGCGTATATTTCCCCCATTACCAATCAGACCACCGATTAAGAAATTACGCTTACTGCCGTCGACAGTTTTGGTGCTAACGTGACTACCAGTTATTTTTGGAATTTGCTCTTTCTGATAAAAATTTTTAAACTGATACCTGAGAAACCAAGTAATTAAAGTTTTGTTCTATATTCAGTTAGTTAAATCAGAAAGCAGCGTTTTGCACTGTGAATTCATCATTAGAATTGCTTGGATTCTTAGACCATTTCTCAAAGGGGTTCGGCAATTGTATCGAGTTTGAGGACGCAGGTTCATCCGGTCAAACAACACAAGACTTTGGTAGATAAAACGTATATTTCCAGCTAGCGCTCCAAGATTATATTTGGAGTCTTATACCATGCCGTATTCTCCCAGGTGCTGATAACTTTACACTGACAGAAGTGACCTCGGCGTGGCCTGCAGAAACTAAACAACCAAGCCAGAAAAGTGCAGAACAGGTAAACATGTCTACAGCTGATAACTGAACTATGGGATGTGACAGCATTTCCTAGTACTTCATGTTTTCAAACTGTCCACATATTTTCTTTCAAAACGTCCGAGCCACATTTTGTACATTTCAAAATTTCCATACAGTGCACCTGCCGCTCCGCTTATTTTCTATCAGACCGTTTTGCCATAAGTATGCAAGTTCCTTTTCCATCCTTCCATGACATTTCTATTTTTTACTGCACTTGCCACTGAAGAAATAGAACATATCTCTCCAGATGACTTGTCTTCCCTTCCTCATCTTCCAGTTTGATCTCTGGTGAAGTTGGCTACTTCCTAATTTCGAATAATATATGACCTGAATTGAACAGGTCACTCGTGCTTCGAACAGGCGTGCAGTGAGCCACTGCGGACGCACTGTGTGTATGTTGCAGGAGCATCAACAGGTCAAATGAATTATGCGCAATAAATCTGTGATACTTCTAAAGTAGCAATTGCACAGACTCACCTACTGTATAGCGCTTTAACAGTCAGGGGACATTTGTAAAGTTTTGGTTGCTGCCTCTCTGTTGCACCTACTGTGATGGATTTGGCTAGGTTTGTTTCGCGCATGAACAAGCGTCACGCAATTGGGGGTTGAATGGTGTTCTCTCTTATAAGGTTTTAAAAACCAATAAACCGTTGTTCAGCAGAGAACTTTTCGTGCTTAAAAAAGGCCTATCAAAGTTCTCAAATTTTGCACCCACGGATGCGGTTTAATCAAAGCCATTCAGGCTTATACCACATTCAGAATAGACTGTTTTCTAGAAGGGATTGATTTCGGCCAATCCACTGGGGTATTTTCTCCAAAAGAAAGCAACTTTTGCAATCCCACGTACATAAAGCTCGTTCAGGTAGCCGTCCTCATTTTAGACAGACCAAAGTTAGATGCAGGACTTTACGCGTGAACATTTTCTGTGGGATGTTTGCGAAAGTATTACAAAGCATCATGCCAACGGATGCGAGTCGTCGTTTCTAGAGTACCATCTCCCCACGCGTGTACTGATTCAACTCCCGACAAAGTAACATGACCCCCATGTTGACTATATACAACATTCGTGAGTCGAATCACATGGTATTGGGTCTCATGGGTAAGGTTTGTAGTGTGAAGCACTAATTTTGTGTTCGAACTCAGCTTCTTCGTAGTCCAGTTGAGATATATAATAAGAGTCAAACCTACTCAACGCGAAGTCCGATACACACCATTTGGGGCATCGTGCGCAGCATTTATCATGTTACTGAATGAATTCTCCCAGACGAAATTTAGCGCCTTAGTTGTGGCTTAGTTATGGCTTTACCTACATGCTTTTTTAGGCCCTTTTATTGCATATGTTTGGTGACAACATATAATCCATCACTCTGAGGACATATTAAAGGATACTACCGACTAACAGTAAGTGTAGAATAAATGATCCAGTTGCCATGCAAAGTACTCCGGATCTACCTCAAACCCAATGTTTACGCCATTCCCAGCTGTTGTACAACATACATAACCAGCTGCTGTCGAAAAAAAATAATAGATCGGCGTCAATTGTGACTTTACCTGATTAAAATCGGCTAGAACTTATGATATGTGTAGATTAGAGTAAGAGGGCTAGATTGCCAAGTGACCAGCATAAAAATATTTTAGACAGCGCTGAATCCTGCGCAGTGAGAGCACAAATATTTGTCTGTACCTGCCGAAAGGAGGTCAAACATCTGGTGAGTGTAGCAACAAAAGCAATGCCTCAGGAATGTTGGTTTTTCAGATGTGAACAGCACTAACTATCATCGGTTGGTCTCATCCAGCACCAGATGGACTGGCATTTCACAGGGTTGAGGTTGTGCATTTCTTATTTCTACCCATTCGCTTAAGTTAGGGGTCGCATGTCTGTGGGGTGTGGCCGGCCATATGAACATGGATTGCAACCGGATTGCAACCAGATTATCCATGGTTCCATCAGGTGAGTTTGCACAATATGCATCCAAATTCTTCGAAGAAACCTAGTGCTGCTATGAAAAACACGTCAGTAATTTTGCATCCTTCATCCTGATTGTGAGTTCTCCAGAAAACGGCAGGCAAAACGGCAAACAGGCGCTGTGATTGGCCAAAAGCAATTGAACAGCTTGTACGGACTGCACACGGTAGTCTTGGGTATTTGTGTAATCATGTGACTCACGTTATTCATTTCAGGCATTAAAATCTCACTTTAAGAACCACATTTTAGCTTAAGCTACTGAGATACGAGCCAGTCACGTTGCAAGTCAGCTAGAAAACTTTCTGAACACTTTTCGTAGATTTTCTGAGATGAAGGTCAATCTGGTCGCCGGCTTCTTTGCAATAAATAGCACGATTTGTAATGTAAAAGTACGCTTCAGATTTATTTGCACATATATATTGGGCACTTCAAATTGTGCATCTGCTATTTAACAGGGTACCCATATGGCCATATGGCCACATTCAACATGTCTGGAATTCTTGTGAGCCAAATTGCAGGAAGGATTTTGTTATATGCACCGACCGTTTTCTCACCGTTTGCACTTAAAATTACCAACGTGCTAGTAACGACGTACTATAAAATTTTCCAGGCTCAATTTACCTCAAGTTTATTCGAAGGTCGCTTGCTTAGATCGTACAAGGTTTGCAGAATCTGTTGTGCGGGTCACGTGAACAGTCTTCTTCAAACGTGACGCACTACAAAACGTGTTCGCTGCAGCGATTACCCTAAGAGATTTCCTTTTATCATGACCCCCAACTTATTGTGATAATTCAATTTGTTTTCAATGAGATATATGAGGAAGACTCTCCACTGATGTTACACCGCAAACGCCACACCTTACGAAGCTTTGGGAGACCTCCCAGCAAAACAAATTTCCCAGAATATTACAGATACCAATTCGTATAGTTCACACTACTAATAACTGTTCCACGTGCAATAACCGCTTTTCACATCGCTCTGTGCTCCAGAGCACCCGAGAAGCGCGGGTTGTATGAAACTTCATTTCAAAAGTGAAAATTTGATAACCTTTTTCTCATCAAGCAATCATCAGTTTATTCCGATCCCATTCCATCTGAATGACTGGTTGGGTGCATCGCATCCTTCTTTCGATAGCTTGATTCGGTTAAATGATTCACGTCGATCCGTCTTAGCTAGCCGGACCTGTTGATTGAAATTTACCTGTTCATCTCTTTACCGTATGAAAGG